CATGTTCTATTGTACAAGCCTGCATTTCGGTCATGTATACGTGTTACTTATATGTAAATGCATGCTTTTGATAGTATCTGTACCTTCTTTTATCTCGATAATACAGTTCTGTATACCCTGTGTACAACTAAAAAATGCAATTCCGTATATCCCTTGTATATATTGAAAATACGATTCCGTATATCCCCTGTATATGTAGAAAATACGATTCGTATATCTTCTGTATATGTAGAAAATACGAGTCCGTATATCATCTGTATATGTGGAAAATACGATTCCGTATATCATCTGTATATGTGGAAAATACGAGTCCGTATATCATCTGTATATGTGGAAAATACGAGTCCGTATATCATCTGTATATGTAGAATATACGGTTCCGTATATCCTCTGTATACGTAGAAAATACGAGTCCGTATATCCTCTGTATATGTAGAAAATACGGTCTCGTATATCCTTGGTATATTTATAGTATACTAGGGATAACAATCTTGATAAAGTCCGTATACGGGATTTTATTCTCCGTATACTTCAAACATACGAACAAATATACGTACATGTATATGGTGCAAATACGGAATTCCGTATATGCTTGATGCATATACGGACTTCCCGTATACCCGGTGTTCCCTATACGGACTCGTATACTTGGTCCGTATATTCGACAAATACATCCCGTACACGCCCGTATATGTCAAAAATACGGGACCGTATATTCCCGTATATCAGTATATTTTTCGCAGTGTATACCATTTTGAAATACATCTCCTGTATATCATATTTTATTTTAAGAAAATGTTAACTTATTACAGATGACTTAGACACGGTCATTATGATTAAATAAGCTGAGATGTGTAGCTTATACATAATTATGTGCAAATTTGGTATATTATTTATGATAGATTATTTAAAGACATAAATAATTCTTGACATATGCTGTTTTGTATTGCGGTCTAGGAACATGTCACTTAACGCGTGCATGCAAACTTGTAAAAAATGAAATCATTTTTGTGTTAACCAACCGTTTCTTTACATAGCCTGATAGCAATGTAGATATAACTGATAAAAGTTCATCTCGAGGTTTCACCTATAGTATTGCCTGGTTACATAGTGGGATAGTTATGAAATATTAGATGTGAGTCATGAAATTATTTACAAATTTGACTTCTCTATTTTTCTCTCTATTTTTCTATTCTTCAAATAGGTAAGCAACATAAGCGAACAAACACACGTCCCTATAGCACATACTGAGTCTCACGGTGAGATTTTAACTTGCAAATAACGATTGTTTCATTAGGCAGTCATTTCGTTGGCTACATGTTTTACAAAGACTAGCTAATGATATCCATTTACCTGTCATTTGTCCGCTTACTGTGTCTGCATAATCAAGCCATAAGAAAAATTAAAAAGGGCCAATATAATCCTAGAAAGTCTGAAACAATTACTGTCATCCTGGAATCCTCTCAGATGTCTCGGCCGGATATCCGTTCAAGTAATAATCCAGTTTTTCTAAATCATTATTGGTAGACACATAACGCAATTTAAAAGAATCACCGGCAAAAATCATTTTCCTTCAGTTGTTATTCAGATAAACTTTTAATGATGGAATAATTTTAAATGTCGAAATTGCGGTAATCAGTTAAACTTTATTTTGCGTTATGTTGATTTAAAATTGCCAAGGGCAATTTCACTTAAACGAAGATTGGTAAGAGGAAAATTGTGAGAAAGAATACTAGTAATCTTGTTTTAAACTCCAGGATGAAAGTTATACTTCGGACAAAAGAAACTTTAAAAAAATAACTATAACATATCTGACATTACCTGAAGTGAAAAATTCTGAAGAGTGGAGATCCTTTAATTAAAAGGAATAACAACTCACTGTTAATTACTTTCATGAACTGAAACAGACTTAGAGCTGTCGCCTTTTGTAACCATCAGCGTTTTCTCTTTTCACTACATTTTCTTCAACGTATACAATTGTCATATTGCCTCTTTATTCGACGGGGTATACGTTCTATACCTTCCTTGTTCGCATTTCAAACATTTACAAAAACATTATTTCGGATAAAATGAAAACAAGCCACTTTATTATAGAAGACACACAGTGACTGTTTCTAAAAAGCCCCCATCAAACGGAAATCAAACAAGCATGATACTTGTAATGGAAATTAGCGGCAGTCATGAATTTATTATGGTTTCCTACGGCATCTGGTATAGACATCATAATAATCATTCTTTTTACAAATATTTTGTTCACACGAACATAATATTTAAGTGTCTGAGCCCACGCTAGACAAAGATGTTTTGCACTAGTTGACCAAGTCATTTAACTGTGGCGATCCTAAAAGCAAGATTCAAGCAAATGTAATTTTTATTTACATATTTATTTATTCTTTCACATAAAGGCAAATAGGTACATTTTATTTAATTTGAAGTATGTAAAGTGGGATGTAGCATGTACATGGTATGTTATATAAATTCAAATAGAACTGTGATAGTAAGACCCTTTTACCCTTTTTGTACTTCATTCTAAAATGACAGAATTTCCTATTCTTATGCATTCAAAAAAATTATTTAATTGAAGTGACCTTTACATTAATTGGCAGTAAAGATTCCGACGTAACTAGGATTGTTTTCTTTGGTTATATTTAATGAAGCAGAAAATTCACTAAAGATAACTTCTCTGGAATGCTGCGACACGTTATATCAAGATAAAACATTATCTTATCAATTTGATAGTGCGCCTTTCCACAATTCGTCATCATTTTACGGCAATAGCAATGGATACTAAACTTCTGAGATCTTGCTTGATTCTGTGTGCATTATTTTTATCAGTGTCGATGAGAATGTTTTAAGTATTAAACACACATACTCAAACAAGCTCAAATCACGTTATGTCTAATTATAAGTTTGAGAAACAAATTGTTCATGAACCGATTGCGAGATTTGTCAACGTCAGCACAAATATTCAGGAAGATAACAAATGTGTGTTGTTTATTTTGAACGTTCAAATTTAAATCTAAATTTTGAATTATTTTTAAAACAAATTGTAAGGTCCTTGTCTTGTTTACTGTTTACTTGGCAAGAATTTAGGCTATTGTTTAATTCAAATGTTTAGTAACGTATTTGAATGATATATATCTTTAACTATTCATTATGAAAAACACATATTTCACGTCAACATTTTACTATTCTTCAAAAACACATGTTTCACGTTGATAAAAGCAAATGTCTCTTATTAAAAGAAAACGAATCATTAAATGTTTGAGTATGTGCAGCCGACAAAAATATCTTTTTTTTTACAATTTAGGTACTTTGATATGATTATCTTTATATATGATTATTGTCTTTTCAAAATTAATAACATTTCAATAAACAGCCTAAATTAATGTTTTACCATTTGATTTGTTTCACACGTTTTGTTATCAAAGTTTTTGTAAGAACATGAAATTAAATATAATGTGATATACAATCAGATTGTTTTCTCCTGTGGACATATTTTGTAACTATAATCAAATTAAAAAGAAATTAATATTTTACTTCAGTAAAATCTTTAGAAATAAAAAAAGAATATTGAACTTATATTACACATAAACAAACCACTGCAACGTCCGTTGTTGCACATCAAATTAAATGATGTGGGAAGACAATGGCAATTAAACTGTCAGTTGTTGCAGTATAGTTGATTGAAACAATTCACTGCATATTTCAAGCAATTCATCCATACCGTAGACAAACTTATCACTTTGTTTTGTAATAACATATGATACAACCAGTATTCACTTCCGAATATTACTGATCTTATATGTAGTTTGATGATAAATTGAAAATAAATATGGTCCTGATCAATACAAAAAAATCACTTCTGAAGACAGACGTTTTCAAACATTTATAACAATTCTGTCCGTATCGTTCGACTTTATGATATACACACTAACTGTCTTAAAAACGCCAATAAGGCTTTATTGTATTTGGGACATAATATAAAATTGCATTTGTTAGATTGATACACATCAGTGTTATTATTATACTGTATACAGGAAATTTTGAAATAATTAATAATGACTGAAAATTTCTACCTTCCACCGAAAAGTGTTTTTTTTTTATCTCTTTGAATTACTCTGAAATGCGCTTTCAGTCCGAGCAACTGGCTAGACTTCTGTTACATAGTCTAGAGTGTCATTATAAATTTTTCCATATCTTTGTGCATTTGTTTCATTAAATGTTGGTTGATCTACCATTATGTACTTTATTTATTGCATATAAGTTTGATTCAATCAATACTATTATATAATTATTATATTATATATATTTTATTTTTTTCACGCATGGATAATAAATATATATATATATAAAGTTTTAATACTTATTTATTACCTCCCTTTATAGAATATTTACCCTATGTATTTTTGTAGCAATTCAATACTTCTTATATAGAGAGTAAAAGAATATTTCATTTGCAGCGCAACGTCGTATTTTTACGTTTCCCGCACTTTTATAACGTTACGTCATTGTTATATTTGTTATGATTATATTATACGTTATTGTCTGAAGATATGTAAAAACATTTGAAAGCGCTAACAGAAATAAACGTATAAAAAATTAACGAACTTTGTACTCTGCATTTCCCAAAACATGCTTGTTTATATATATATATATATATATATATATATATATATATATATATATATATATATATATATATATATATATATATATATATATATATATATATATATATATATATATATATAAGTAAAATCTCTAACTTGCCGTATATAAGCAAAAACGCTAATTTAAATTTGCCGTAGCTTTCGGCCTTGCGGCCTTCTTCAGCAGCATTTATTTCACATACAAATATATCAAACAAAACAATGGAAGTGACGTAACGTCAATGAACGACGCCCGCCGTGGCGTTGGTTGCCGTCTGCCGCGTTATTCTTTTGTATTAACTCCATACGGTCTCGAAGATAAATCTTCTACGTTTGAAAAAGCAAAAAATGAAAAAACTTAAAGCTACGCGACAGAATAATCCAAATGGCAGTTTGATAGAAGTAGAAAAAGATGGGAATTGTTTCTTCCGTTGTGTTGCTTATGAGATTCTGGGGGATTCATCTAAACATAGAGAAGTTAGGAATACTACAGTAGAATACATAGAAAATAATGAGTTGTACTTTTCAAATTTGATTGATGGCAGTTTTAGAGATCATGTACGGAACATGCTATTAGTAAATGGAGAAACGTGTTCATGGGCTACTGAGGCGGAAGTTACGGCTGCAGCAATGTGTTATGGTATCGACATATATGTGAATGTGATATGTGGTCTACAAAATAATTGGCTTAAATTTCCTATGCAGGAGGGTGATTCATCAAGAAGTAGTTATTTATGCCTCAGACATATGAGTGATCATTTTGATGTTTTGTGCATGCCCCACAAACCGGAATTAGATGTACACAACCCCAATGACTTGATTCATTCCCCAAAACCGTTCACGGATAAATTAAAGAGGACGTCACCGGAAGTTAATGAAAATATTCCAAATTCCGGAATTACAGATATTGGTAAACAGGAAGCTGTTGTTAATATGTCGTCAACAACGCTGAGTGACGCACAGCTATCTCTACTATCAAAAGGATTGAAATTTGTACCGACACGGAGAAATATAGATAAAGGCAAACTTATAACTGATTTAAACACGTGGGAACGCCGAATGAGACTACATGAGTATTTTCATGACAAGAAAACAGAAAACGATACACAAAATGAATATGACAGTAAAAAGAAGCAGTCAACGTGGACGCCAAGTGCGGGTAGGGATAAATGGTTAGACTCATACATCAAGAAAGTAAAAGATGATATAATTAATGGGCTAAAAAGAAAATTCAAAACAAATATTACAAGAACTGAAGAACAAGCAATGAAAGAGCTCTTAAATAATGATACTTTAGTTATACGTCTGGCGGATAAGGGGTCTGGTATCGTTGTTATGGATACAGAGGACTACAGAGGTAAACTTCAGGCTGAGATGACTGACAATGCCACTTATATGGAGGTGAACGAAGATAGAACGAAAACTATTGAAAACAAAGTGAAAAAGATGGCAGATGATATATGCAAGAAAGGATCAATTTCAAAAGATTTAAAAGGATATTTGACATCGTCTGGTGGTACATCGGGTAAACTGCAAGGTAATCCGAAACTGCATAAAACAGGGGTGCCATTGAGAACAATAGTAAATGGGAGAAATCATCCTTCTCCGGAGAAAATGGCAGAAATAGTAGAAATGGAGCTACGCGCCCATGTGACATCACTTCCTTCATATATTAAAGACACCACTGATTTCTTAAGAAAATTAGAGAATATTAAACAACCACTTCCGGCAGGAACAATTCTTTTCTGTTTAGACGTGAAAGCCCTGTACCCAAGTGTCCCACGGGCAGAGGCACGAGATGCGGTTGCACGTGCATTAAATCAACGTGCCAACCCTAACATACCCACAGAAGATGTTCTTAATATGATGGACACTGTCCTTGAAAATAACACTATTTCATTTGATGGAAGAAAATTCACGCAGACAGAAGGAACAGCGATTGGCTCACGATTAGGGATGAATTACGCATCTACTTATCTTGGATCATGGGAATCACAGCTGATGACGATAACAGATAAACTTCCGCTTGAGTATTTCCGGTATGTTGATGACGTTTGGGGCCTTTGGACTCACGGTATCGAGACGTTAAAAGCATTCCATGAGCTTGGGAATAACCTTCATCCAAGAATAAAATTAGAATTAAGATATTCTACTGAAAAACTTGAGTTTCTCGACGTAATGACGAAGATTCAGAATGGCATTTTAATAACAGACCTATACACTAAACCCACAGATAAACACCTGTACTTGCATAAAAAATTCGTCTCATCCGGAATCGACAAAAAAATCAATACCATATGGACTTGCCCTCCGTGCTAAGCGAATATGTACTAATGAATCGACTTACAAACAACATAGAGAAAATATTAAAACTCAGTTACAGAAACGAGGCTATGAAGATCGACATATTGAAACAGAATTAAATAAAGTAGATAGTAAAAAAAGAAGTGACCTATTACATTATAATGAAGATAAAGAAAACACTGAAAGAATCCCCTTGGTACTGACATTTTCCAGAGCGCTCCCGAATGTAGGACAAATAGTACGAAAACACCTACCTGAATTACACACCTCAGATAGAATGAAGGAAATATTCCCGAATCCACCAATAGCAGCATTTAGAAGAGATAATAACCTACAAGACATTCTCGTTCATAAGAAACACAATAAATTATTTTTTCAACAGCCGAATTCCTGTGCTCCTTGCAGATCCAAAAAGTGTGCGATTTGTCCATACGTTATTGAAGCAGACACATTCATTGGTGTGAACGGGGCCTCGTATAAGGTTCGAAATCAGATCACGTGCAAATCTACGAATGTTGTGTATGCATTTTATTGTAAGCGTTGCGAACGTTATATTTATGTTGGAGAAACAGGGGATACGTTGTACCAAAGACACCTTCTTAATTTATCCAGAATACGAACCAAATACAACGATCCGTTAGCGGCGCATTTTTATACGAACGACCACACAGTAAATGATTTTTCAATAATGGGGCTGGAAAAGCTATACGGGAATGAACAATACAGAAAAACAATAGAAAATTTGTGGAAAAATAAATTAAGAACCTATAGACCGTATGGAGTTAATACAAAAGAATAACGCGGCAGACGGCAACCAACGCCACGGCGGGCGTCGTTCATTGACGTTACGTCACTTCCATTGTTTTGTTTGATATATTTGTATGTGAAATAAATGCTGCTGAAGAAGGCCGCAAGGCCGAAAGCTACGGCAAATTTAAATTAGCGTTTTTGCTTATATATATATATGTATCATCCATGCGTGAAAAAATTAAATAAACAGCGACGAAAATCAAACAGTCAAAGAAAATATAATTTACTACTTCTTTTAAAGATAGTGTCTTTAATTGCTATGATTGCTATGTTTTTTTCAAATACTTTCTATACCCGCACTTAAGTTAAGATATGTGTTAAGATCAATATCCTGTTGTCATATAATGCACTAGTTAAATTAAAAATGAAATGAGAACACGCGGCGGTTTAAAACGAGGTCAACATTTAACATGAAATAGTAAACAATTGAATAAAAGATCATCGTGGAAGAAATATCCTATAAAAATGTGAATAAAGGATTTTTTTCAACAAGCAACCTATTTATTGCTTGAAAAAATAGAATATAGCAGATCCATGTTATTTTTGTGTTTAATTTGTGTAGTCTCAAAAGACTACGAGATCGAATCCAATTACAAAATATGTAGCAACAATGTCGTAAAGATCCGTTACAAAGGACACACTGTCAACCTGTTGGACATTCATTTATAGAGGGTTAATGTACCCTTTGTCGCATAATTACATCTGCAAAAGCACGAAGACGTAATAAAAGCCCGGGACCTGACTGAGGAATTCAATCAATCCGAGGGTGATTTGCATTGATAAGAATTACAACAGCTCTGTCATTTATAATGATGGCATGGCATGGCACTAAACAAAATTATGACATTAAATAAAAGTAAATGAATAAAAAAGTTATATTGGCGAAACAAGTATTTTATCGAATGCATAAGATTGACATGTATATAAAATATAGCCGAAATTGTCGATCCTTTTTCTGTTAAAACATTACAATACAACAAATAAGTTAAAGTTTTTTTCTCAATATTCATTCAAGTAAATGATACCAGCGACAATAACGACGATTTATTTATTTGATATTGGCCACCGGCTTAGACAGCAATATTTACATTATATCAAACAATGACTGGTTCCAGTCATCGTTACAAATCATCACATGCATATAATTTAACTTGGTGTAGGTGCAACATACCTGTGCTATCACAATGATTATAAAACATGTTTGTTTGTTTGTTAAGTTTTAACATTACTGGCAATTGACACATTTCCGGCCATACAGCGCTGACTAATTTATAAATTAACATAATATTATTAAACCTAAAAACAGTTTAGAAATAGGTTTTAAAATAAGATAGTTTAGTAATTATATAATTTGTAAGCATGTAGTTCAACTGAGCTAATAATCATTTTTCAACTTTATATATTTTAATTAAAGAGCGCTAGCAGAAAATTAACGCATAATCTATACAGCTTTAAACAACGAAGCATAATCCTTTCAACCTTGCTAAGAGACATCACTTCACTTCACATGTACAAAGATGCACAAAGATATATATTAATAACAGTATTTTATTGAAAACGAAACAAACTATGTGTGCACAGTTTACCAAGATGAGTGTCGATAACGAAAAACAAGACATATGATCTTCACATTCGGCTATTCTGTGCGCAATAAAAAATTAACACTTAGTCGTAATGTTAAATGCGATTTTTATGAAATCGATGTAATTGCTTTGTTCTTTCTGAAGTCTAGTATTTTACATATACGACAAAAAATCAAATCCGCTTATTCTTTGGCAAGATCTGAGATCTAATGCATACATTATTTTGTGAAAAGTATGTATATCGTTGATACTTTTTAAAGTCCACAGAAGAACATATGATATCTCTAAATAATTTCAGTAACTTAATGTTAAGAATAACCGATAATTCTTATTCCGTTTTTATACTTTTGTTTGTCTGTATGTCTTCGTTTGTTTGTTTTTTGTTGTTGTTTTCTGTTGTTTTTGCTTTTGTTTGGTTTTTTCAAGTTTTTTTTTTTTTGGGGTGGGGGGGGGGTGCTTTTTTTTCTTTTTAATTAAACCAAGTATCAAGACTGTACTTAATTTTTATGAGCAATAAACGGTTCATACTATTGTCACGGATATATATGTATATAGGATTTATGTCCGTGAAACCATTCCTGCAAAGATATACCTATTAACTAATGAAAAGTTCAAACCAAGTCATTCACTTGGCAAAACTGTATAATATGATATATAAATCATAGAGGATTCAGCTCCAACTACGTGTTGTGTAGTGCTTTTTATTGATCAACTAGATTCAAACGGTAAATAAAACAAAGTAATGAAGCACGGGGGAACAACGGAAATGTTATTATAAGTGTCAAATTACTGGACTAGTGATAGTCTTTACCAGAACTGCGAAGATTAATCATTTTATATAAGATTTGATTAAAAATATTGCTGTTTCAAACACATTCTATTTTCATTACAATATGGCAT